TCAAAATAAAAGACTTTTTGAAAAAATGTTTATTCCTCCTACAAGGAGAGAAAATTCATTGTGGTTGACAAATTTATAAGAAGACTGATTAGTGTTTCAAAGGGTAGGAAAAATTATTTGGAGAAAAAATCATTCTATTTATGGAATTCGTATCAAATTAGGAGGAGAACAAGCAAAAATTTGTTTTGTGATTTGAAAAGAGAGAAAATTAGATATTATTTCTTTCAACCTCATTATTCTTCTAATTTCTTTCTTATTTTATTTTGTCTTGATTTTTTGTATCTTTAAAGTTTTTTTTCTTATTTATCTTTAATTAAAGTTTATATATATTTTCTTAAAAAAGAATTTAAAAAGATGATCATAGTTAGTTCCTTTCCTCATCAATGCTATTAATCTCATAATTAGTGTTATTTATATTATTTTCTTAATTACTTTTTTTTCTTTCATTTAGTTATTCATTTGAAGAAATTAGTTATTATAACTTTATAAGAATTACACATGTATTTTTACATAATTGATTTGTTATTTTAAATTTTTTTGGATCATTCTTCATCTTAAAGTTTCTATCTATATGTAATAATAAAGCTAAAATAGAAAATGTGGGATGACACCTTCTTAACAATAGATGCTTATTTATTCTTATCAATGTTTCTGACATTTGTTGTTATTTTTTCCTTAAAATAATTGTTGCCTCGATTTTTAGTTTTAGTTTTTTTTTTAGCATTTTCTAATTTTAAAAGACTGAAAAATTTATATTGAAAATTTACAAAAAATAAAAAATGATTTATTTAACTCCAATCATCATCAATATTATTATTAATTTGTTTTACTTCTTTTCTTAATCTTCATTTCATCATTAATGTAATTTATATCATTTTCTTAGATATATATATATATATATATATATTTGTGACATTTCTTAGAAGTTAGGATTATTATTTATTTAATTTTTTAAAATTTTGAACTCTTTTGTCATACTAAATACAACATGTTTTATTATAATTACATTTAATATATTAATGAATATGTTGTACGAATGAAAAGAAAATTATCATTTCACAAAAACAAAGGTTAAAATATAATTTATTATGATTAAGGAAAGCTAAAATTATTATTCCAATATCCATAACCATATATAATACATTAAAAATTAATTGAAAAGCTGTAAATGGAAAAGGAATCACCATTTAAGGAATCATTATTTTTAAATTTTTGAATCATTTCTTCTTCTAAAAGTTTCTATCCATATGTAACAATAAAGTTAAAATAGAAAATGTAGTGACACCATTTTTAGTAATAGATACTTTTTTATTTTTATCAATTTTTTCTGACAATTTTGGTTATATTTTTCTTTATAATAATTATTGCCTCGATTTTTTTTTAATTTTAATTTTAAAAGATTGGAAATTTTATGTTAAAAATTTAAATAATAGAAAAAATGATTTATTTAACTTTTATCATCATCAGTACTACTAATTTATTTGACGTTTTTTCTTAATCTTCATCTGATCACTAATGTTATTTATATAATTTTCTTAAATCACTTATTTTTTCTTTTTTAACTCTTTTATATATATAAAGTTGGATATGTAAATGATGATGTGACATTTCTTAGAAGCTAAGATTACTATTTATCTAATTTCTCCAATTTTTGAGTTCTTTTGTCATACTAAATACAATATGCTTTATTATAATTACATTCAATATAATAAACAATATGTTCTAGGAATTAAAACAAAATTATCATTTCAGAAAATAAATGTTAAATTATAATTTTATTATGATTAAGGAAAGATAGTATTATTTCAATATCCCATAACCACATTCAATACATTAGAAATTAATTGGATATACCCGTAAATGAAAAATGAATCACCATTTAAGGAAAATAAATGTTTGCAATACCATAATAATTAAGGAGAGAGTAAGATATTATTTTAATATCCTAATTCGGAACTTTTAATCTACTACTCAATTAAAAAGAAAATGCATTTAATAACATTAAAAAGTTATTAGTTTAATATTTTTTCTCATTGTACTAATTCAATTCAATCAAACTTAATTTTAAAGATAAAATAACAGCTTCATTTTAATTGTTATCAATATATTTTAAAAAATTATCGTGAAAAGGCTTTTCTTGCACCTTATTTTAATTTTCATATACTATTATTATTTTTTCTGTCATTTTTCAATGATTTTTTATTTCAATTTAAAATTTAATGTTTATTCTTAAAACTCTGATGGTACAATTAAGGTGAAGTAGAATATAATAAATGATGATTCTTCTACTAAATAAGAAGATATAACGAAATTGAAAGAGTGAAGTTTTTTTTTTTTAAATGGATAGGAAATTTTATTAAGGTATCATTACGTCATCATTCAATATATTTTTAATATAAATTTCATTTGCTGATGCATTTGTTTAGTACTCCCTCTGTCCCTAATTACTTGTTCACTTTTCCTTTTATAGTTGTCTCTAATTACTTGTCCATTTTGACAAATCAAGAAAGAACATTTTTTTTACCTATTATACCCTCAATTAAATGACTAATTACTTTGAAAATTGCAGAACTTTTCATCTACTTCATAATTAATAAGGGTAAAATGATAAACCCACTATGTCATTAATTGATTTCTTAATAAATGTGTCAATTTAAAAGTGGACAAGTAATTAGGGACAAAGGAAGTATTACAGTGTTATTTGACATTATGAGATATTTCATTGACATTTAAGGAGAATGGTACACAGGAATATATATTATATATTAAAGGATCAACTTCATGCAATGGAAGAATTTGTTATTAGCAAATATATTTTAACTTATTTGATAAAAAATATATTCTTCCTCATTTAATAGATGTAAAATTTGTGAAGCTTTATTTTTTTCACAATCTTCATATTATTAAAACAAATAATAATATTACGATTAAACAACAGAGTAAATATAAAATTAATCAAAAATATTTAATTTTAATGATCGTGCGAAGTGCGGCCAAGTTCTCTAATTTAAAACAAAAAAGTAAAATTTAAATGGGTCTACTATAGAATTCCTACAAATCCAACTTCAAAAATTATGTTAAAAATGGAAACTAAAAAGTGAAATAAATTTAATTGAGAGTTATCCTTCGTCTGTCCCATTTTATGTGACACTTTTTATTTCTGAAGAATCAAATAGTTTAAGTTTGACCATAAATTTGCGTATGATATCTTCAATTTTTTAAAAATGAAATTTATATATTTGTAAACTACGTAAAAATCAAAACATTATAATTCATAATAATTAATAATTCAAAATATTTTAAAGATGTATGAAAAATTTAAGATGAAAGATAAACTAAAGAGAGTAAAAGGGGAGAAGGGAAAGTAGAAAAAAAAGAATAGTTCATCATTTTGGTGGGCCTCAATGTACAATTTCTATAGTTTTTAGTCCAACTCTTTAGTGCAATGTTGGTCCTCCGAAACTCCCATTTCTAAATAGGAGTAGAATAAAAAAAAGAGAGAATTGGAATAGTGAAGACATTGAAAATTGTAGGGAATTATTTGTATCTAAAATATTGAAACACATGCAATCCACATGTTGATTCAACAATAAAGTAGGCCAAACATGTCGGTACACCTCAACTCTCACTTCTAATAAGTAGTAATGTGTGCATGTGATTGAATATGATAAAACAAGTATTTCTTTCTTTCCTTTTTTTTTTTTTAGGAAAAAGGGTCAAAAATACTCCTCAACTTTGATTTATTGTTTGACTTTACTCTTGCCGTTAAAATGAAGTTAATTTTACCCCTCCCATTACTAATTTCATCAAAATTACCCCTCATTAGTCGGAATTCCCAAAATTGACCCAAATTACCCTTTTTTTTTTAAAAAAAAACCTATTCCCTATTTTTAACCCAATGACCCGACCCCTCTAGGATAACCCGATTAACCCAATTAACCCAATGCCATGTTACCCATTCCCACAACAACAACCCTCATTCCCACAATTTGCTCCCAATTCGACATGAAAATTGCCCAACAATTCAAAATCCATCTCCGATTTCCCATTCCATGATGATTCTCACCTCTTGGCAAAATCGTCGCCACTTCCGGCGCTACTTTTGTCTCTTTCTCTGCTCTCCTTTTCTTCTTCCTTTGTTTTGTGCTACTTGCCCTATCATTTGTGCTGCTGAAATCTGCTACTGTTTGTGCTATCGCCGCCGCAGCTGATCGCCGTGGAAATCGGAAGAGATGGGCGGGGGCGATGTGAGGGAGCGGAAGGTAGTATAGATGGAAGTCAAGAGACAATGTTGTTGCGGAGGTATTTGGATGATCAACTGCTTCCAGTAATTGAATCTGTGTACAATTGGGGAGATGAAGAAGATGAAGATGTGGAAGTTGCAGATAGTAGAAGCCTTCTTCTGCAATGATAAAAGAAATCCAGAGGTCTTTGGTTTATCTCTTTTCCTCTATGGTTAAAATGGGTAAATGGGAATGGGCAACATGGCATTGGGTTAACCGGGTTATCCTAGAGGGGTCAGGTCATTGGGTTAAAAATAGGGAATAAGGTTTTTTTTTTTTTAAATTTGGGTAATTTGCGTCAATTTTGGGGATTCCGTCTAATGAGGGATAATTTTGGTGAAATTAATAACGGAAGGGGTAAAATTAACTTCATTTTAACGGCGAGGATAAAGTCAAATAATAAACCAAAGTTGAGGGATATTTTTGACCCTTTTCCCTTTTTTTATAGTGTAGGTATAATGTTTGATGTGCACATTCTCATACAACTATGAAATAATAATTAGTGACTTCAAATTTTATAGCCAAACAGCTATACTTATTGAAACCACACTGATGCATAAGTTGTAGTGGCTATGTGCTGTATTAAGAACTTGAGGGTACGTATTCGTCACAAATTAAAAGCTCACAAAAAAAAGAAGAAGCATTTTACAATAAAATAAAATAAAAAACTCTTAAACCCTCAAAAAACCCAAAAAGGAAGACATTCTTGAAGCCGAAAAGCTATCCATTCGAAGCAGAAAGAGCAGTTAACAATGGCTTCAAACGCCTCAATTTTCACCAGCAATTCTCTCTTATCATTACGGGTCGTGGGGTTTCCCCGATTACCCATTTCACAACTCCATACCCGAACCCGAATACAGCCAAACCCACTTCATACAACCCGACTCGAACTGTCTTCTTCTTCTTCATCTGTCAGTGCCTCAACTAATGGATTGAAAAGTTTGTATCTTTCTGATGTTTGGGCTAGACGCTTCGTTACTAGCAGTAATTTTCAGATGTCAGCGGTTTCAGGCGACGGTGGTGGTGGGAATGGAGGTTCCGGTGATGGAAATTCAGGTGGTGGTGACAATGGAAGTAACAGTGGTGGTGGTGAGGGTGGGAAGAACTGGTCATTGCTTGCCTGGTAATTTTGTTTTAAATGAAATAGTTGGAACCAATTAAGTTTTTTTCCTGCTAATTTCTGGTTTTTATAATCTTGGCATGTTGAGTCTTTTATAAAATTGTTCAGTTAGCCAAATGCTTGTAATCGTATTAAGTACTACTAGCACTTTTGATGCACTGGGTTGTTTGAAGGGTATTTTTACTGAAAACTGAAAAATTGATAAACCGTTTATAGATTGAAGGAAAGTATTAATATTGCATATGAAGTTATCGGTGCCGGCACACATTGTACATGACTCCATTCTATTCATCCAACTGGTCTGTCGAAAACATTATCTAGATTAAACTTTGTGATGGAACTCATTTCATTAACAAAATAGGAACTAAATTTGTAATGGAACTCAATTCATGCAACGAGAGTGTGTGTATGTTGGTTTTGGCATTTCAAATGCCATGGAAGATATCTTCTTCAGTGTAGGCACTTCAGGACGTCATTATATCATTTCTCATAGAGATTGTTTGTTCTGGAGTTTTATCTTGACAAAGCAATTGAAAATAATAAAATAAGTTCCTTTTTACATCAAAGCAAAAACATGTTATGTCGAAATATTTGAAGAACAGAATCTTTTGTGCTGCATCAATATCAAAGAGTATCCTTTATTGTTATGGTTTCCATAACGTGTATTCTCTTTTTGTCAGATTGGTATAATTTTCAGTTTCGTAGGAATCTACTCTAAAATTAACATTCCACGGGAGCCCCACATAAATGAGTAAATGTCTTATGCTATCCCAGCGGATGAAGTTACAAAATCCAATATATATTGGAGGTGATAGAGCCATACAGATGCTTCCCTGTAGTTGAGTCTTACCACCCTACCTCATAATACTTTCATGTGGCCGGCTTACAAAAAGAAACAGGTCCTAAGAAATCACCCACTGGCAAATGGTTCCATGGAATAATGAATAAATATATCTTCTCTCTAACAAGTTAAGAGTGAGATGTGGTGATATTGGGTAATCTAACAGATATTGTTAGTAAATTTTAGCTTTCCAGCATATTAAGGATTAAGGAATCCATGGATGGAATCAGCAAAACATGAACATGTTCACCAATGAAGTGCATCTCCTCATGAAATTAAGCAACTTACGTTTGTGTCTGCTTAATTTCTAAAACAAGATCGTCCTTTCAGCAAAATTATGTATAGACCCTAACAGCCTAACTTAGAGTTGTCAAGTATTAGCTGTATTTATTTTCACTTTTCTCCTTGTTCCTGTTGGAATGCATGTACCCATTATCCACCTTTCGTGCGGTCAGATGAAATGGTAGATCCCTTATCTGCTTGACTTCTCTAGTCAGTGGCTATTCCCTCTTTCCTTTTTCTTTTCCTTTAAAGGCTTGCTATGTCTCTATCACCATTTCTATTTCTTAAAGAATAATATATACTCTACAATAACAACAAATTACGCCTCAGTTCCAAATAATTCGGTGTTGGCTATATGAATCTTTGCATGTGTGAACTTGCTCACATTGCTGGTCCAAACCTGGATAAAGGAGAGGAATTGCGATACGCTGCCAGCCAACATAAAACCAACCAATTGTGCTGAATCCTCACAGTAAAGAATAATATATGCTCTAACTTGATGAAAAAGAAGGAACAATATAAACATAGGAATAATATATATATAATACTATAAAGCTTCATTTTTTAGTCATATCTTGACACTGTTTTAACTGTATCATCGTGGCTCAAGAATAATTGTTACTTTTGCTGTAGGTACTTATCTCTTCTTGAGAAGTATCCAGTATGGACAAAAGCAGTTACATCTGCATTGTTGACACTTTTTGGAGATCTAATCTGTCAGGTAAACTCAGTAAAATGAAATTCAAGCTTCTAGAACCGATAGAGACTGTCGAGGATGCACTCTTTCTTTATGCTATGGTTGTCATTTGTCAATGCTAGTGCATCTGTTCTCTGTTGATGCTACAGGTACAACATTCTATGAATCAGAGATTCTTGATTGTTTAACTTGGTAATAGTTGTTAATTCTTACACCTGTTGAAGTAAAGCTTATAATGAACTCTATTTCCTTTACTCATCAAAATATATCCTTTGGTATATGGGTTTGGATTAACAATGTCAAATGATTATTCTGCTTTATGGTTAACATTGTCATAACTTGTACATGTAGTTATGGTATTCCTATTATGATAAGGATTTTGGTATTGGAGATGGTAATTCCTAAATTGATGCTAATCAGATATTTTTTTGGATTGAAAGAAAAGGAGAGAGAAGTGGAGTAGGGGGAAAGCATAAAATTTTCTTTTTCGAAATGATTTTAGGGAGAGAAAGGGAAGGAAAGGAAAAGGATGGATAGGATTACGAAGAAAACCATTAAGTTTCTTTTCTGTCCAAATGTGTAAGATCTTTTGGATTGAAAGAAAGGGAGGAAAGGAGAGGAGCAGGATGACTGCATTTTTTTTAAATTGAGTATCGGGAGAGAAAGGAAAGGAGAAGGATGGATTGGGTCATGAATAAAACATTAAGTTCCTTTTCTGTACAAATGTGCTGTGAAGGGAAAACCTCCTTCGATGAGAATTTGTAATGTCATAAAAGACAGTAGGCATTAATTTTACCTGATGAAAAAAAGACAGTAGGCATTATGAACCATATAATCTTTATATTAATTTTATTCAGTGTCTAATCACACTCCTTCCTTTCCTTTCTCTCTCCACCAATTCGGAAAACAAATTCCTTCTTTTCACTTCCCTTCTGAATGTGCAATGTGTCAACAACTTAGTATCCCTGCTTGCAAAAATGATCACTGCTTTAAATAAGTTTCTTGATCTTTTCCCTCATTGAAATATATTCTCTTCCCGATAATTTCAAGCTACTTTTCTATTTCTTTTACCTTCTCATTGCTGATTATGTGTCACAGCTGTGGATTGACCAAGTAGCATCTGTGGATGTAAAGAGGACGCTTCTGTTCACATTCTTGGGGTTGGTTTTGGTGGGTCCAACTTTGCACTTTTGGTAATATCTTCACAGTCCTTTTTTATTTCCTCTCTATACGACTCTGAAGATGTGTGTACTACTTGTGCCTTTTCCACTTGAAAACCTGTCATATACACATGTTATTCTGGTCTGTGTATTTTCAACTTTCTTCCGAAGCTGCTGTTATTATGTTATTAACTGTATACCAATTGCCTAATCCGCTGGGCACATGTCTTTCTAACCCAGCACTTAAGCTGGGAATATAAAAGTAGAAGATGCTCCTTATTTGCATGTCACCGTTGATCTTCTATTTTTACTTTTGAGGGAATGAAGACACAAGTTAATGAGCGCAGTAGTATTTTTATATAATTAGTTTCATGTGCTTGCTCTATCAATTTACGTTGACAATATAAAAATTTATTTCACCCGACTTTCATCTGAAGGTTTGAATGATACTGCAGACCGATCCATATTATAAGTGCAATCACATGCTGATTTCTATTGGTCATTAATGAGCTACTTCAATACTTATGTAGGATTATTTACTAATGTTTTAATATTATTTAGCTCCTTGCCTTGCTAAAAGTTATATGTATCTACCAAATATGGGTGTATATCTTGTTTGCTTGGTGAACGTGTAGGGGTAAAATGGTCCTAATGACATTGTAGAATATCTCCTTGTCTTCTGACTCTGATATATTTAGGTACCTCTACCTGAGTAGATTGGTCACAACTCCAGGGGTCGCTGGTACTCTCATGCGTCTTGTACTAGATCAGGTTTTCCTTCTCTTTTTTCTTTTCCTTTCCATTTTGTGATAATATCTTGTTTATTGGGTAATTACTGCCTTTGTGATATCACCATTGAATTTGAACTGCTTTGGTACAGTTCCTTTTTGCTCCAATTTTTGTCGGTGTTTTCTTATCCTCTTTGGTAACACTTGAGGGAAGATCATCACAAGTGATTCCAAAGCTTCAACAGGTATTCTAAATGGCCTTCTGTTCATATTTCTTACTGAAATGAGCCATTAAATTGATGAATACTGATAATTTCTCTTCCTGCATTCTGATTCACAATTACATTTTTTAATAGGAGTGGTTCTCATCTGTCCTTGCAAATTGGCAACTTTGGATACCTTTTCAATTTTTCAACTTCCGGTTTGTGCCTCAGCAATTTCAGGTAACACACTTTCATCATTTTGTTTGGTTAAGAGCATGCCTTCCTGTCAGCTTCTAGTCGTTTGGAGATATCTCTTCAAAAAGTTGATCTGTAAATATGAATTGGAAAAAGTCCCCAATCATTCATGTAAAGAGTTCATCAATTAACTAACATAAATCCGAAGTAGCAATTTCAAGCTCTACTTGAAGTGTTTTGGGGTGTGCAGACTCCGCTAAAGCACAGATTCAGATTCAGATGGTTACTTTTAGCAATAAAAAAGAACTTGACACCTGAGCTTCTTTCTTCGATCACTCTGATTATTTATACATTCACATGCTGCGCACAAAAATAATAGTTGTAGTCATGCACTCATTTAACATCCGTTGATGTTCTAATTGTAACCGAACACGTCTGTTTGCAGTTAGTATTTATAATTTATTTTACCGTGACCAACTTGATTGTTTTCTATTCTATCTCCTGTGATTGCAGGTCCTTGCTGCTAACTTCATCGCTTTAGTGTGGAATGTCATACTGTCATATAAAGCCCACAAAGAAGTTATTGTAAAATAGGTATATATACCAATGTTTCTTTGAAACTAGTGTATTACTCCAACACCATATAATTTTTGAAACCTTTGTAGTGCAGACTTCAGGTTCTTGCTCCGCTGCCTACTGATGCCGATAATTTGGAATAGGCATGTGATTTACGCTGCGCAAGATATTTGTTCTTTGTATGTTGGTATTGATCTAGGCTGAAAATGTTTTTGGTGTTTACTGTTCCAGATCAATAGTAGTATAAAATATGGTTTACTGGGAATATTTTGCTTCTGTAAAGTCGAATCTCTCATTTACGTTCTCTTTGACTCCTGAATTTTCTTTAGACACCATCTTTCTGACCTTTCACAAAAATAAATAATTATTTCGTGTCTGTTGGAAATATAACCGATTAGAAACAACCTCTCTGTCCTTGCTAGTTAGGAGTAAGGTTGCGTACACTCACTCTCATAGACCCCACCCATGAAATTATATTGATTGTGTTGTTGAATTGAATACTGAAGTTACTTGAACTTTGCTTCCTACGCTATGAACTAAGGCGCGTTGGAATTTTTTCCATAAGATTTATCTTAAAGATAAAAAAGTTGGTAGTATTTACATACAAATTAAGGAAAAAAAACTAGTTAAAATTTTAAATTTGTTAATTGGCATATTGGCTAATAATTTGCAAATAGGAAAATAATAATAATAAAAATATCACCAAATTTAAGGAAATATAAAAAGTTTTTTTGAAAAGAGATAATAAAATGACCGTATTATAGAAAACTTAACCGGTTGCGACTTTTCGTTGTTAATAAAAATAGTGGAAAATTCAGAATAACTGCTATAACCGACTTTTGAATTTTAAAGGTCTCAATTTTTCATCACTTGCAATGGGAGAAAAAAAGAAAAAGAAACCAGACGAAGTAACTTCAAAAATATAAATCCTCTTCTTTATATTTTGTTATAATATATTTTTGTCCATATAGAATTGTGAAATTTTATTAATTTTGATGGATTTATATATAGGTTGTGGAAGCAGAATTTAAAATTTCAATGTATTGCCAAGGATGCGAAAAACAAATTGCCAAAATCATATCCAAAATCAAAGGTACTCTCTCTTTCCTCTTTTAACTAATTTGAACAATTTTTTTATTTTTTTAGCTATGTTACTCGTGTTCTTCAGAATTGCTGAAAAATGTGTGTTGATTCTTTTTCTTTATGACAATTTTAGGGGTTGAAGAATTCATGACGGATATGAATAATCATAAAGTGGTAGTAAAGGGTCGAATGAATGCAAATAAAGTGTTGAAGAAACTTAAGAAGAAAACAGGGAAGAAAGTGGAAATGGTGATTAAAGAAGAAGAGAGTAAGAAAAAAAGTGAAGAAAAAGAAGGGGATTTACAATTGATGAAACAAAATCCAAGAGAAATTACAGATGCTTTGATTATTGGATATTGTGGAGATAACATGTTATATACTATGTTCAGTGATGAAAATGCAAATGCATGTTCAATTATGTAATTTTTTAATTTTTTTTTTGATATGAATTATTTTTCCTTAGAGCATTATTTGAATTTTGTGGAGATAGCTTTGTTATATACTATGATCAGTCATTTTTTGTGACATCATTCTGCTAATAATACAACTTTTACAAAATTGTTTAAAATACTAAGTGATTGTTCGGTCGTTGGTTAGATTTATGCAAATATTAGTATTGCAGAGATTAGTTATACAATATTAAGTTATTTATGTATTAGTTATTTAATCTACTATCACGCCTAAAATAATATATAATTTGACTCATAATTGATATTTTAATTACGTTGCATTGTAAACTAGTAACCAAACAACTAAAATGCTACTAAATGTGGAACAAGTTATGCTAATTTTAAATAATTCACTTACTTCTTAACTAGAAAACGAGAAGGAAAATAAAATCAAATAACAAAATATGTCTCAAATCATCATGGATCTTACAATTTTGACCAAACAATTTCAACGATCCAATAATGCAAGTAGACTATGAGTAAATATGACTAAGAGGGTGTTTGGATTGACTCAAAAGTTGGTCAAACCTACTTTTGAGTCAGTTTTTGACTTCTGAAAATGTTTGACAAATATAAAAAATAAGTCAAAAATAACTTAAAATAAGTTAGAAAATGTTTGACATGGTTAAAAATGACTTAAAATAAGTTTTAAATAACTTAAAATACGTCAAAAACTAAAATAGGTCTCCGTTACTTTTTATTTTTTGACTTAAAAGTCATTTCAATTTGGTTTTTTATTTTTAACTTAAAACTATTTTTTTAAGTCAATCTAAACGAACTTTAAGAGTAAATATATCCTTCTTTCAAATATAAGGGTAGATATGACACTTTTCCGTATAGAAAAGTTATAAATAGTTGAGAAGAATACAAATTAAACACGTGATGATGAAGAAACTAGAGAGACCAATTTCTTTGGAATTTCTTGGTGAACCTTCAAAGAAAAACGCCTCCTGGAAGATATATATATATATATATATATAATATTTTAATAAGTGGATCTATTTAGTCTTTTCTAATTTGCAATATTCTTAATTTAGTCTCTTGCTTACCTAAGAGATGATGCATTCTTTCGTTAAATAATTAAAAAGAGGAAAAAAAAAGTGTTCCATTCTAGACTGGGTGCTGACGTATATGGTGAGTTATGAGTTCATTTAAATTGTATTTATATAAAATAAATATAAACAATTGATCAATGAAATATAATTTTTTTTCATTTGTTTATTTGATTTTAATTTGCTACAGAGTTTTAAAAAATAAAGAATACTTTGAAATCTTGTGCTCTTAAACATGTTAGGTGGGAAGTTGAAATTAAAAAATTGTAAAAAAATAATACATTATTTTTAAAACGAAATAAAGAGGAAAGTAAAAAAAAAAAAATTGAAATGGAGAGATTAATAGTATGATAATATTCTCTGTCCCAATTTTATGAAGAGGTTTGAGTACAAGAGTCAAAACACTTAATTTTCACTATGAATTCAAGTATAGATTCTTTAAATATTTTAAAATAACAGTCACATATTTAACAACTAAAATGCAAAATACTACAAGTCAACATAGCTAATGATTCTAAAAAGAAATTTTAAAAATTGAAAAAATTATAGTAAAATATTAGTAGTAGTACTTTCACATAAAATGAGCCGGAAAGAATAATAATTATTTTCCTAAATTTATATGACACATTTTTTTTTTAGTCAATATTAACAAATGAAAACTTTCCTTATTTGGTGAAGATTTAATAATACAATCAACATTTAATTATGTTGACTTTTACTTATTTGACAAAAAATCTATTAAAGATATATTCTTCTATTTAAAATTTTAAGAATAATGATGAAGCTTTATAAAATTTTCATATTTATATTTTGTGTTCAATTAAATCAAATCTCATGTAAATTGAGACAGAAGGAAGGAGTAAGTTGTGAGGCACATCCTTGACCATATTTTCATGGATCCAGTGAAGACACACTCTTAAGGGATTCCACTCTTAAGACTCAACTAATTAGATGGCAAAACACTTTGTATCAAATTATTATTTCAAGAAGTTTCTAGATTCGTATTCTTATTTGGAGGAATAATTTTTTTTTTTATTGGTGTACGTTTTGTGCAATCCAATCTCAAACCAAATAAATAATATGTCGGACCTAACTTAATTAGTTCAACGAGATAATTAATAATTAAAATATAAAAGACATTATTTATGTTTTTATTCTTATTTTATTAAATAAAAGTATGTCAGACCGGACTTAATTTCAATTCTCTTGGTAATTTGTAGCTTGTTCAATCTTCAAAAGATTTTCTCGTTTACTTAATTAATCAATGGAGTGAGTATCTTTAATCCAACCAATACTCACATATAATGATTTAATTAATCCTATGGTTTATTATAGAAGTAATTACAAAGAGAAATATTTATTATATATATTCTTACTGATCAAAAGGTTAAGAACATAGAGAAATCTAAAATTTTAAGTTTATAAATTTTAAATTATAAAAAATGTTACTCACTGAGTTTAATTTAGAAAAAATATTTATAATATTAAGTGTATTTAATAATAGAAATACCAAAATTTGGTCTAAGTTATTGAATTTTACTGAACTCATTAATATTGAAACTCTAACTCAACTCTTGAGTCCTGGGTATTTAAAAAAGTATACTTAAATTTATTCAATTATATGTTTCTTATATTATACAACCGAACATATATACTATATAGTACGTAGTTATTAATGTAAAACAAGGTGGTAAAGCAGCCAAGCTAATTATGAATGATGAGGAGCTGCCAAAGAGGGAAAATAGTGTGATCAGCCCATACAAGAATACAGTGAGCATATACACTACCATAAAATATTTTGCCCTAATTATTTAGCGTCAATAATAATATAATTATCACTAAATATTATAATTAACACTCTATATAAGTGATATTAAAGATTTTAGCGCCTTAACTATAAATTATATTGAAATTATATCGTTAAATATTTTTACGATTATAAATATTACCGCTAAAAAAATCTATTACTCACTAAATGTCATTTTTGCTGCAGTGTCACCTAAGGATTTTTAATAGCATATATTGACTAATTTTGAAAAATAGACTAGTCAACTATGTGGTCTTTCTAGAATTTTAGAGATTCATTTTTAATTAGAATTTTCCACAATTATTTTCCAAGTTGGTGGCTTCTGCATTATATTACAAAATCAAGTATATTTGTTATTAATTTCCCTGGATGTGACAGATGTATTTTCTGTTAGATTGATAGTGTAGTTAGTTCTTGTTCTATTTTTTAAAAAGTATATATAATCATTTATCATCAAAGGATGTGGTGCAGTGAATGAGATTGCTCCTCTCTTAATTAGAGGTCTTGAATTCGAGCTCTGAGTATAGAAAAATTCTGAATAGGGAGGGCTTCCGCTTGAACGAGGCTCTATTCAATGCAAATCCAGAATAGTCAAGCTCCAATATGGATACCAGACACCGAGTGCCAAAAAAATATATATGCTATGCACTTTGCTTTTTCGTTTTGAGCATCTTTTCCCCACTCTTTTTTTTTTGGACAAATATGATCTTTTTTCCCTCTTACATTAAAGTGCCTAACCTTTTCATGTCACATGTACTGTTTATAAAGCACTTGTTTGAAGTATATATGTGTGTGTTACAATCATAATTTCATTTCAAGTCTCTTAAAGTCATAAGGAACCATGAGGAAATTGAAAAGAAAAGAAATTAACATCAAGGACATACATGGTCTAGCAGTTAATAAATTAGTGAAAATAATTTGAAAAAAATACTAACAATTTTCTAGTGAAACAGTCAAACACCGTATCGTAAATAAAAGTCCACACTAGAACTCTAGAAGATTACTATTCACTCAGAGCGAATTTACTTTTGAAGTTATGAATTCGGAAGAACTTAATATATAACTTTGGCCAAAATTTTGTGTTAATAATAGTCTCAGTTACCATGCATGTACTGCATGCCTATTTTGGAAAAAGGCCAAACACATATACATCCCCTCTAACTTGTTCGCATTTTCCTTTTGACACTTTATTTTAGCCTTGTTCCATTTTAACCCTTAAACTTCATTTTTTATGTACCATTTTAACACGAAATACTATTTTTATGATTTTTATAGATATTCTTCAATTGCAACTTTTTATTTTAAATCGACATGTGTCAGTTAATTTTAGTTAAAAAATTAAAAATTAACAAAAAATAATTCTTTTTAAAAAATAATAATTTCTTTTTAAGAGTGTTATGTATTTTTGTGTGAAAAATAACCGACAAAATTGTGTTAGTTTTCTTTCTTTAAAATCACCGACAACCTAACAAAGTTAGTCGAGTTTTAACATTGTTCAGTAGTGTTATTAGCAATGGACAAGAGTCTTTTTTTTGTAGTGTTATTAACAAAGTCAGTCGAGTGTTTTTGAAGATGAGTTTTTTTATTCGTATTGGTTTATATTAAAAATTAAAAGTGAGTATTTGCGTTAAATTTAGATAGCCTAGATGATAAGAAAATAAATAAATAAATAAATAGTGTTATTTAATTTAACTGAATGTTTAAGAAAGAAAATCAAAGAACTTTCGTCAATTTTTTTTCATTAAAAAATACAGAGAAATCTCAAAAAAAAATATTATTGTTTGAAAATTTTTATGTTCCTTCGCGAATGTTTAATTTTTTTACGAGAATTAACAGGCACACGTCTATTTTTTTAAAATAAGAAATTGCAATTGAAGAACATAAATAAAAACAAATCATAAAAATTAGTAAAAGTGTTTAAATGGTACAAAAAAAATGGAGTTTAAGGGTTAAATGGAACAATGCTAAGTTAGAGTGTCAAAATGAAAAATAGGGCAAGTTTGAGGAGCTGTGTATGTGTTTGGCATTTGGAAAATGTTGTAATAATGTTACAAACAATACAAATTGACTTGCGATGGTGCCTTTCTAATGACTATCATAATGTGAAGGTGGAATCTGTTCTCTCTTGATTATTGGAATGATCAATTGAACTTGCCTTTTTTCAATTGTTGATGTGTGATAAAATGTAACAATTGAATATGATATTAACATATTCAAATATTATATTCATTAAAATAAGACAATACGATAATAGCTAACACCTAATTTCGAGAAGACTTCCTCCCACCTTCCTGTTTTATGGAAAAAGTAAAGAAAAAGAATCTTCCAAAAATTAGAGTTAATATTTGTCTCCATATGTATTACTATTGTATAGTCCAAGTTGAGGTAAACAGTGGGAGTAGTTCAGAATCTTATCTACTGGATCGAGTAGTGTGTCGCCGACCACTCTTTTAAATATCCCCATTCCTTCCACTTTCCTCTCAATACTTGCACATCAT